AGCCGGCTGACTGTAAAAAGAATTTCAGCTTTCAAGCACAGAATGAATATTATTGACGTAAGAAGTTGATGCTAGAAAAAAACTACTTCAAAGTCGTAAGGCAATGGGTGAAGTCCATCTTTTGCTCTTGCTAATGAAGTTGGAAACCTGGCAGACGCCCCACTCCATGCACTGCCTGTGGCCCTTCCTCTCCATTTCTCTGCCTCCCGTTTTTTTCAACAGGGTTCCTCCCTCCCTTCCTTCTTTCCTGACTTTTTCCCTCTCCCTTGGGTGACTTTGTCCCCACCAGTCTCTCTTCCCCTTGTCACACATCACCTTGTTTTTTTGTGTGGGGAAATAAATTTAATACGCAGAAAGTAGTCAGTTTGAAAGTGACTGACTCAATTCGTTACACAGACAATATCACTCTACTTGCTAAAACAGAGCAACAGTGTATAGAAGAGTCCAGTTCAGCCACTCTGTTCTCCTAGTTCCTTCATCACCAAACACACTAAGCAGGGCATCATGGGGCTGTGTTTTCAATATTCTACCTTCAAGTAATTTATGTCTTACTCTGTCTTTATTCTCTCTACGTCCTAGGTCTTGTGTGTGCCGTTCCTTTTGTCTTTCTCTGTCACTGGCATTCTCTGTTTCTCCTTTCTCTCCCTCCCCTTTTTCTTTCTCGGTCCTGTCCTGTGCCTTGATCCCCACTGGGCTTGCCAGGATGTGACTAGAAATCTGATTCTGTGTCCAAGATCTGGACTAAGTTCTCAAGTTCATGACCAAGGCCCTTTAAACCTCACTTCCCCTGATTTCCAGGCTTGCAGTGTGGGAGGGGTGGGTAAGAGTTCTGGTTCTCTCTGTGTGCGCCATGGGTTACAATCCATGTCTAACCGTCTGACGGGAGACTGACCAGAGTTCAGGAAGTCCTCCACAGCTCAAGGAATTGTCCCAGGAGTGTGCTTGTCCTGGTTCTAGCTGAAGGCTCTCTCCTGCTCTTCTGCACTGTCTTTCTGGAGCAGTGATTCTCAATGAAGGTTGGTCCTTAGCTTTCACCCTGTCCCCAGTCCTGGGTCTTCACCCCTTCACCCTCTCCTTACCTAAAAGGCTACCCCCACAGAAGGGCTGCCCATTCAGGTGTGACAGCATGGCAATCCATGGAGTGGTACCCTTCTGGGCGGGGCGTCCGTTGAAGATCCTGGGGATGTGCTTCCGGGAGAACTTGGGGAGACCACACACTGTAGCCAAAGGAGGGAGGGAGGGTCACATTCTATACTCCACCTTACCCATTAGGGTTACCCATTATCATTCTGTTAGGAACATCTGTTACTACCAGATTATCCGTCACCCATCAACCCTTCTAATAGTGTTATTGTTGAGGTTTTGTTTCTGTGTGTGCTCTTGGCGTGTGCATGTGTGTGTGTGTGTGTGTGTGTGTGTGTGTGTGTGTGTATGTGTGTGTATACTTTCACCATTTGTGGTCTAGGTAGCCTGAGTGTGACTGGCCTCAACTCTGGTTTTAGGAATAGGAATGTGACTCATCAAAGGTCTAGATCCTGGGCCATAGCAGTATCTTTAAAATGAGAGGTGTGTCCTTGGGCAACCTATTAACGTTTGGGCTGAAGATCTTACTAAACATTAGAATAAGAGTAAGTGATGGTTGAGCTGTTGTTTGTGGGGCAAGATCTGCCAGCTTTGGTCTTGTGGAGAACATGCTGGGGACAGGAGAGCAGTGCTGCCAATCACCAAGGAAAGCAGTATGGAAAGGTAAGGGTTGAGGTGCATCTCAGTGCTGAGCTCTGGCAAGGAACCGTATCGAGAGTGTTTGGGAATGACCTTTTCAGTTATATGAACCAGAAGATCTCCCCTTTTCCGTTCTTTTTTTCCTCCTCCTCCTCTTGATGTTGGTTTCTGTGACTCAGAAAGTCACTAATGAAGAAGCTTCATGCTCCATCAGCAGGGGCCTTGTCCCCAGAGAAAACCTTCCTCAGAGCCTGTGAAGCTGCATACTCCCACAGTGAAGGTCTTTCTCCTCTATTCCCCTTCCCCTGCCTTCCTTGAAATGGATTCACAGACAAACCCACGGCTGAATGTCCTTATATGCCATCTGTGTGTCTCTATCATCATACACCTCAAGAAGTCAGAGCCTGCTGGGCAGTGGTGGGAGGCAGAGGCAGCCTAATTTCTGCAAGTTCGACAACAGGCTGATCTACAAAGTGAATTTCAGGACAGCCAGGACTGTCACACAGAGACACCCTATTTCAAAAACAACAACAACAACAATGTCTGGAGAAAATAGCTGATTTGCTGAATGCTATTCTATTGGGGAATGGCAAGAATATAATTCTGGATCACCAACCCCAACTCTGGGCTTGTTCCACTCCAGCCAGAATCTTTAACTCGCAACAATGTGGTTTCCAGGGCTCACAGAGCTCTCTGGATCCAGGAAGTCATGCACCACTTTCAAGGCAAAGACTGGGTTGAATCACAGACAAATATGTTGCACTCTTGATCACAACCTTAGCACTCCCTGTGTTGCTGACTGTAGTTTAGGCAGTGGTCTCACCCAATCCTACCCCATTCCCAGCAGACACTCAGGGCCCTGCCGACTGCTACTCTTCTGCAGTTTTCATCTCTCCTTCTTTTACAAAACACGGTCAAGGCTTTACTCTCTCTCTCTCTCTCTCTCTCTCTCTCTCTCTCTCACACACACACACACACACGCTACATGAATAAATAAATAATAACTTTCCTTACTTCCTTTGGGTCTAGTCCCTCTTTCTCTTCCCTTGCAAAGAAGCCTCTCCCCAGAGGACAGAACACGAATCCTTCACATTCTTCTCCTTGCATGGTCTTGTATATAGATTAAGGTGCTATTTACTGATCACACTTGGAAATAAGGCAGTCATTGGAATAGTCAATAGACCTGCGCTCAGGTGACTTTAGGCCCTAAGTGGAACTTCAACAGTGATATTTACATATCTGAGAGAACACTGGTTTTGAAATTGTGTCTGATGTGTTTTCTTCATTCTTACAACCTTTCCTTGCCCTGTGGCTCCCCAACCATGGAAGCTGGCCATCTTTTTAAGTAAAGGATAGATAGACTTCAACTTTAAAGAACAAAGCAGAAATCGAGGGAGGGGAAGAAAGACTTTGAAGTTGGGCACTGTGGTAAGCATAAAAGATTTATGTGTTTGAAGGAAGCAAAGCCTGGGAACTGACTTTTACTGGATACCACAGAGAGGGGGTGATGCTGCAGCTTCCTGCCTCTCAGGGGAGTTGAAAGTCTTTCTCAGGCACAGGAAAAGCTGGAGGGAAGGAGGGGATGCTGGAAGGAAGAGGGTGGGTAGAGCGAGATGGGGTGTTAGGCTGTTCAAACACAGGCAGCTTGCACCCTGACAGTCCCTCAGGAAGGACAATGGCAGTTTGACTCTTACCTCGATGAATGTCCACCCCAGTGGCCCTTGCCAAGACCCTCAGTCCACACTGGATGGGTGACCTCTTTACTACTCTCCAGCCTCTATCCTTAGCTACAGAAGCACATTTTTCTTGCCTCCCTCTGTCTTTAATCCTCTGTCTGGGGGCCCCTGACTTCCTTCTGTTTTCTGCAGTTTTCCACCAGACGATACCTTCTATCTCCATGCCTTATTCTTCCTGTCGCTGGTAAGTATCAACTCGTGTCTTGAAAGTGCTTTCTCTTCTGGAGTGGTAATGTACATTTCCAGCTGTGTTGCTTGAGAATACTTCAAATCTAGCAAAGCCTTGCCCTCTTCCTCCATAAGCCGTCCTCCCTCCCCTGGCTATTCCAGACTTTAGATGTCGGAATGGACCACATACTGGTCCCCTCCTTCTTTCACTTATGTGTCTTATCAGTCACTAAGCCGGTGCAAAGTTACCAGATGTAGGCTAATACATCTCCCCATTCCACATCACAGCATGCTGCAAATAATCCATGAGCCACAATACAAAGTCAGTGTAGCTAGTGGAAAATACAAATCAGAAATATCATCACATTCAAGTCATGCAGTCTTTGAAATCAGCAGTGTAAAGCTTTCAAAGGCTAATTTAGGATTGTTTTAGTTCTCAACAGCATATAAAGCATGACACACACCCAAAAGTATGAAACAAATCTCAAGTGAAGGCAAACCATGTGTATGTCCTATGAAGAAGCATCACTCTCATGGTAAATGATTCTGCTCCTGTATCTTCATTTGTGTGGTGTCTCGGGAGATGCCTACGGCCTAAGCTTTGCTGACATGCCACTTAAGTGGACCAGAACTGCTTTATCTGCATCATCATGCATGGTGAGGGCTCTGCATGTCTCCCCGAGATAACTTTTAATAGTCCAGGCCTTCCCTGACACTTTCCCTACCATGCTAGCTGTATGAAGATTTATTGAATTCACTATTTCCATGGTGTAAGACTCAGCGATTTGCAATGTTCAGCAAGTACCATAACGTGAATCAAACATGATGTACTCAGAGAATCTCTGATTAGGAAGCAGCTCAGGCCAGGGCTTTTAAGACTGTCTGTCTGTCAGTGTCCACTGTTCTGTCTTCATCTCAGGCCTGCTGTCCTGATTTTCCACTCTTGTCCACTGGTCCTTCTCTCTCCTCCCTTGCGTCTTTGCAGCCTCTCCTAAGCCATTCCAAGCCCCTGCAGTTATACAGGCACATTGTCTTTTAATCACGTCTCCATGAGACTTAAATCTCATTCTCTGGTGACAGTGAGCTCCCTTGTGTTAATTGCTTGTGTTGATGTCTGTATGCACATGGCCCTGTCTTGTCTGCTGGTGTGAGCTCTTTGAAGCCGTGGGTGCAATTATAGGCAGTTAAATGAGGGGGGTTACAGCCTTACTTCTGAGAAAGAAGTATGTCATTAACCAATGAATAATCTCCTTTCCTCACTATCTTAGATGATGCTCAGATATCAGCAGCTGTGCCTACAAAGGGGGTGGGAGCTTAATGAAGGCCGATTTCTTTTTAAAAGGTCAAAATGAATGAACACACTTCACACCAAGCTCTCAAACCAAGACTATTGGTTATCCACAGATTTATTGCCACCATAGACCCCTGACAAGAGAAACAGCGTGCAGAGGCCCCTTAGAGAGTAGCAAAGCCTGTGGTATTAAATATACAAAATATAGTATCCTTTACATGCGCCATTCATAGATATAGGAGTGTGATTTGATTGGCCTTTCCTAGTTCTCTCCACATTCCTCTCCAGGCCTTTCCAGCTGCCTTTGTCTGATGGAGAATTCAACCTTGAGAGTGAGGGATGCTGCTAGCAATCAGGGAGGTGGCCACTGAGAGTGCTGGACAGACCCCAATGGATCTTTTGCCTTCACCTTGCAGATGAGGCTGAGGCTTCGAGGAGAAAATGATGTCAAGTGTCACCAGGTAGCCAAAGGTAGAGCTAGAGACAGAACCTAGGACTCAGGTTCTCTATCTCTTTCCAATAAGTGAGTCTTCGCTTCCCTGGCCTTGGTCCCTGGACCTCCAAAGAGTGGATGGCTCAGAGAATACTACTTGGTAGATTGTCCACTGAGCTCAGGCTCCAGGGTGGAGTGCAGAATTGGACTGATTCATCATGTCTTGAGTCCATATTTTCTTCTGTTTTCCTGCCAAGAAGCAATGGGGCACAGTCTTCTCTTTCTCTAAATAGTTGCTGGGTCTCCATACATGTGTCGGGGACAGTAAGTCTCTAGATGAAATATCTAGGGATGGAAGGTTGCCTTGTGTTTGTGTGGAGTGGCAGGTGTTAACACTTTATGGTGCCAGCCAGTATTTGAATGGCACATGGGTCGAGTGTATTCTGAGTGGACGGAAGGTGTTTAGGGGGCTTGGGAGAGCTGTTGCTAGTCTCCTCCTTCAGTCGTCACAACCCTCACAGAAATCTCTCAGTCATCTGAAACTCTGAGAGCACAAAGCATGAGCCTCGCACTGCAGGAAGCTTTTAGTAGAAACTCCAAGAACAGAAGTGCCCCAAGGTACTGTCCTCGGAAAGCTAGCTCAAGCTCTGCTCTGGCTCCCCCGAATCTGAATGGTTCTTTCCTACATGATGAACTAGGCTTAGGGCGGGCCCAGAAACCAGAGCTGGGCACATACACGAATACAGACTCTAGGTGAAGGAATCCTGTCCTAATGATGAGGTCCAGTCGTTCTCACATCAATACTGACACGTGATTAGGAGTGATTGACACTTGGGATAGAAGCCTTCTGGAGTAGCTTCCCCTGCACTGCTGGAGAGGCAAGGCTAAGAGAGAGGAAAAGAGGCTTGGTCGTAGCTTTGGACTGAGTTCTCTTGCCTAGAGATTTTCCCTGCACCATATTAACCCCATTCTTGGGGAAATGGGGGGGCTATCTCAACAGGATGAGTGCCCAGCCAGGTCAGTGTGTTGTGGGTTATTTGGTCTGGTAACATGGAGTATGCTGTTGGCAGTGTGTAGTGTAACCTCATTTGATCTGGGGCAGGGGAGGCAGGCCCTGAGGAAGTAAATGCCTTCACCGTTCCACGTGGAACTCCCCAACACCCCCCGGGGAGTTCATCTCCTCCCATACCCAGTCCACATAGTTGGAAACCTTTGTGTAGACTCCATACACTTGCTTGCTGCCACATTCTTCAGGTCCTCCCCAGGACACCAGGCCTTGGGCTACCCAGTGCTGGCTCAACTCATCAAAGATGACGAAGGCCCCACCACTATCCCCGAGGCATGTATCCTTGCCACCCTCATAGTAACCAGCACAGAACATGTTCTCTGTGACACTGTAGTTGCCTGAACGAGACTCATAGCTGGCTTTGCATTCAGCATGTGACACCACAGGTAGTTTGACGTACTGTAGAACATCTGACAAGGTCCGCGTGCCACTGCTGATGATCTCATCCACTGTCACATTAGGATTAGAGATGCCCCAGCCAGCCACCAGCCCCAACAGGTGAGGGGCTGGACCTTCAGGCTCAGGTCTCGGTAGACAGATGGGCATGACATGGGCTCCCAAGGGCACGGGCTCCTGCAGCTGGACCAGAGCTATGTCATGGTTGTAGTTCTGGATGTTGAAGTCTGGGTGGAGCACCACCCGGGCAGCAGAGCTGTTCACAGCTCCTGATTTGTCCCGTACGTCATGTAGACCCAAGTAGACGGTGACATGTTCCTTTGAGACAGGTATGACTGTGTTGTCTCTACGCTGGGAGCGCAGCACGTGGGCTGCTGTGAGTATCCAGGATTCAGAGAGCAGGGCCCCACTCCCAAACCACTTGTCATTTGGTACCCTCGATGTGTCTTCCACCACGATCAGGGCCTGCCATGGGAAGAGGCCAAGTTCAGCATTCCGGCCTCCAATAATCCTCTTCACCAGGTTGGGCAGGGGGCGGGAGGGCTGCCCACACACTGTAAGAAGAAGGAAGTGGAAACGAGAGACAGGGACAGAGTCAACCACATGAAAAGAACCAAAAGAAATTCATATTCATCCACTGTGGATTATGCCACCACGGAACCCTCCCTTGCCTGAGTCCTGCAAGCTTGGGAAAGCTCAGCTGTGATTCGGTCACATCTAAATCTCTCTGAATTGGCCAACATTTAGCTTGGACCACCATAACCAGGGCCATGCCTGTATCAGATCATTTTATGTTTTGGCCAATCCAACCTGAGCCACTTCTGGCTAAACCACTTTTGAACTGACCATATGTAGCCAGGCCATCATTAGCAGAGAACCTCCTGGCCTTTTGTCTAGATGTCCACAGAGAAATAGAGAGAGCCTAAACAGTCATCAGATGTCAAGCTTCCAACTCCATAACTCCCCTTCATTAGCCATGGGACCTTAGGCAAGTTGTGTGACTTTCAGATGCTCAGTTTTCTCATCTGTAGAATGGATATGCTACTAGTGCTTAGTTTATGGTTTTTGCAGTAAATGGCACAATTACTAAATTCGGTGAGAATTTTGTAGATTTCAAGCCAGACCAGGACGTGTGGGTTCTTGACTTGACTTTGCCACTTTCCCAGTGAACTGAGTCAGTACTCTTGGATTTCAACTCCTGAAAGATAATCTCCAAATTTTAAATTTCTTGGATTCTTTTTCTTTGTTTACCAAGTCTACAATTTATACACGAATGTCATTGTCAAAAGGTTGAGGTTAACTCAAGGTGACATGGCTATCAAAGCAGGTAGCAGGACCTAAACTAGAGCATAAAGATAGATGTTTCACCTGTATCCTGTACTGCTTTATTACATATTAAGACCATGGTCATAGGCTTGAATCGTTTCTCTCTGGTGTTTGTGCATTAAGGCTCAGTGTATACGGGGTAAGGAAAAGGTGGCATAATCCACAAGCAATGATGCATGAACCCTGCCCAGGGTCACCCATCATTGCACCCGGGGGTCCTTTAGTACCTTCAAGAGAGCGGCACCCTGTGCACACACATGTGTCACCAGACGCCCACAGCCACACTTCTCTGCTTTATGAGCAGAGGGTCTTCAGTAACAAGCCCTCACTGGCTGTGAACAGCCTCCTATGAGCGTTTCCCAGGAAGGGTTTTTGAGGCTGGTGTGGGTGTGTGCTTCCTGTTGCAATGGTCAGGCCCTGAGCGCTTCTAACAATCCTGTAGACCAAGGAGCATTTGTGAATCTGGGAGGGTAAGCTTGGAACAGGCTAATGCTTTTCGGATGCTCTTCTGCCCAGTGCCAAATGCTTCTTCCACCATCCTGGGCCATCTCTTTTTCCAAGCCGGATGTAAACAGACCTTCTAACCCTTTTTCGGACTGGGCTTTGAAGCTGAGGTCAGTTTCTCATTACAAACAGCAGACAGCAAGGTGACATTTCAAGGCATTGTCTGTGACATGCTCTACATAAAAACTCATCTAGCATACAAAGGCCATAATCTGGTGAGGGACAAACAGATGACTCAGTCCATGTCACACAGAGCTCATGGCCAGCAACAAATGGTTCCTTTCGCCAACCAAGGTGCAAGTATAATCCCAAGGTCACAAAGGTCACAACCCAAAGAATGTTAGCGAACAGTTAATGTATATATGGAGAAAAAAAGTTTCAGAAGAGGTCATTTGTTTACTAAGAGTTATATATACGAAGAAAAGGAAATACAGCCTGCTTCGTGGGTCTAGCTTCATTTGCCCTTTACAATGTTTTATTTCTGATGTACCTTTGATTTTTCAAGGGGTTAAGTGATGCAACAGGTCACTGGGGGAGTTCACCAAAACAATACCCTCCTCCTCCCCACCCTCCTCCTCCCCATCCTCCTCCTCCCCATGCTTCTCCTCCCCCTCATCCTCTTTTGCTTCATCTTTCTAAGTAGGTGTGTTTCACTGAGCTCAATGAAACCCAGCAGTTGGTGACAATGACCTCAGATACCATGCTTGGAATCCTCCATGTTGGTTACTGCTACTCTCCTACCAGTCTTCCCTTGGACAGAGAATGTCCTTGGAATGTTCAAAGCTTTGGCGATGCTGAAGCCAGGTTAAAACATAAAATGAAATGGTGGGCACCAAAGGAAGTGGGTTCCTTAAAACAAAGAGGTGATGCTCTGGGATTCCGAACACCTTTGTGTGAAATGAATGATAACCTATTAAAGGAAGTGCAGCACTGCACATGTAGACAACATATTCTGAGTTATCTTGTAGTTCGGCCCCAACTCCAAAGGTAGCCCTGCAAAAGTTACCACTCCCTTCTGGTGGATTTTGTTTATGGCCCACCACACCAAAAGGGCAGACATTGTGGTGGTGAATGAAATGGTTTTATCCTTTCTGGCTTGATACCCAGGCTTTCAGAAGGAAAAAATTTGGAAATTTCTTTTTCCAAAATTTTGACAGATCCACTATAGCTCTGCCAAACTCTGTGTGTCAAAAGAATTTCATGACTCAGTGTATCCGAGCTGTTCTTCACAGAGTGAGGAGAACCATAAAATGTGAGCCATTTCTTGCTCACTCATTTCTGAGGGATGGAATCCCAGCCCCAGATAATATAATTTCTTACCAAAGACCCCAGTGGGAAGCAGCTCCAGCAGGCATGCAGCCCGGTACGTATTACCCATCCAGACATCCCAGTGTAGCTTTCTAGGGTGGGAACTGATTTTAGTTTTCTTAGCCACATAATCTTTTAGGAATATGGACACCTGAATCTCCAGCTTGCCACAGACCCACTACTCTGCTCTTTTAAAGTCCTCCCCACTTTGAGTCTTTGAATGTGCTTATGGAAGACAACTTGAGGTGAGTGGAATTGTTAAGAGTGTGAGTGGCATGGCCTCTTCCTTATACCAGTGTGTCAGTCCCTTTCTGGTGTTCACCCCTCCATTCCTGCATAAGCATGTACCTTTACTTCCCCTTTCTAGGAGGCACCGTGTGCCTGGGATGGAACTGGCTCAGAGCGCTGCTGTGTTCTTCATGTCATGAGGGTTAATCTCAGAAAACTCCTTAACCTATTATGTTAATGTGTGACCCAATATTTACAAGCCTACTAACTGAACGTCAATGGCTACTGACACCATTCATACAGTGCAATATCTCAGTTTACCCAACATTTTCATTCAGTAGAACACAAAGGCCAAAGCTGATGTCCATGGACATGTGTGTGTGTGGACTCGGGAAGGACATCATTTAATTGCTAATATTCTTGAATTTCAGAAATTAAAAATGTATAAATCACAGCATTGTGTGTACTGAAGTTACTTTCTGTGGGTTGTATTTAGCCCCACAGTGTGTGATCTTGGGTTATGATTTTCTAATTGTTCATGGATGCGCCGTGAGTCATGATGCAACATTAACAATCATCTATGCAATGCCAAGGCAAATTCCCCAACATCTACATTCATCCTGATCCCTCTTGTTAGCTCAAAATCCTCTTTGCACTTTAAAGTGGGGCCCGTAGATGAAACATGGAGGAGGCAGAAGCATAACTGTTTGTGCACATAACTCTTTTGGGGATCAATAGCACATTACAGCTATCTTCTTTGAGGCCTGGTGTAGGCCTAAGAACAGAGTGTCCATTTCTTGATTTCCCTGGCACAACACCAGGTGCACACACAAATTGCTTTGGATGAAATACTTGGTAGGAAAAGGTTGGAGTTGAACATCAACAAGATGAGAGAACTTCTGGGTTTCTTAAGCAGGCCAAGTATGGACACTGGTTGTTTGAGAGGAGGTGGGGCTAGACCTTTCTGACCTTTAACCTTCTGATGGCATCACTTCAAAAACAAAGCATTTCCTTCTCATCATCTCATTAACAGGCCTTGCATGGGAAACTGAGACAGAGGACTCAGTGGGTGAGGTACCTGGAAGGCAGGTGGGCAGGCTTCTCTTCAGTACTTCGTTTGTCCAGGTCCCATGCGCAGAACACGTATATACACCTTTGTGAGCGAGACAGAGGGAGCAGAGAAAGAAATTGATTATGTGGAACACCTACGAAATAGGTCTGGGTTCTCAGCTGTTCTAACGTAGCTCACCACAGTTTTCCCAGGGTCTCTATGAGCCAGTCCTCTCTGCAACCTGAAGAAGCTTTCTCTTCAGCTCTTCAGCACCACACTCTTCAGCAAAGCTCCATAGGCCTTGAGAGCCTATCCCTGCCTGCCTGAGGGTAGTCTGTGCCTTTCTCTATACTCCCGGGCCCTGACAGGTGTCTCCTCATGGGTCACAAAGCTCTGTGTGACACACGTGCCTCTCTCTCCCTTCTTCAAGCTCCTTAATAAGCCATCTCTGTGCCTACTGCTCGACTGGGCCTGACAATAAATAGCCCCTGAGCTACAGAGCACACTCCCTTAGTTAAAGACGAGCTTTGGAGATGCAGAGGAACTAAGGGACTATTCTCAGTGATCACATGCAGAGGGCAGACTTTCTTGTCTCCATGAGGGTTGTTTTTCTGCTGGAGACCACAAGTGATTTTGAGGGCACTCTTGGTTTGAGTCCACAAGGCCTCACTCTCAGGAGAAGTGGGGCACACTTCTGATTATTTCTCCTTCAGTCTCCTCCCATACCTTCACTGTGACCAACAGACTGGTTGTGCTAGCCCTTTACCCTTGGCCTACGTGCTATCTGACAAGAATCTTGGCCAGAGACTGTGCAGAGACCTGGACAGCAACAGCTGTGGCTATGCTTGAGTCTCAGTCTGGGACATGTTGGGTTTCCTGTTGAAACGGGTCAATTTCTTCTCGTTCTCTCAACCCGTCTGACCTTTGTGCAAGACATAAGAGAATGTCTCTGAAGGAAGTCCTACCGTGTTGCTACAACTCTGCTGGGTGGCTTTGGTCTGGTCAACCCAAAGCGGAGGCAGAGAACAGTGGGGGTAGGCTACAGCGGCCATTTTCTAGAAACCCTAGCTCTACCTCAGACACATGAAGGAATTATTTTTGGGAGAGTCCAGACTTCCTTGAGAGGCTCAATTCTTCTCTGAATTTTTTGGTGTGTGTGTCTTTCATGCCCCATCAATAGGCTCTGCATTCACTATAATTTTTGTTTTTTTAATTTCAAAGTAAAGGAAAAACACCCTGGCTTTGGGTTTGGGACTAGTTAAGTGTATCTAAATGGATATGTCACCTCGAGCATCTGGAGAGCAAGGGTCAAATGATGTGCCTTATAGGACATGACACTTTGTATCACAAGGCTTTGTACATGTCTAGACAGCCACTCTTAGAGCTATTTCAGCCCCGGCCCGAGGGCCAGGAAGTATGAGGTACAGGTATGGAGGACTTACCTGTGATATTGTGAAGCATCTTATAATAGGGCTGCTGGCAGGAGTATCTTATCTCAGATTTGTATGTCGTGAGGTTGTTTCTTGTGGAGAAGGTCACCAGTCCGTGTTTCAACCCTTCTGGGACTCCACAGTCTACAACTGAGAGAGAAGTGAGACCCTTTAGCTACCATTTTTTTTCTTCCTCTTGCAGCCACCAGGGCATCTATCTTCCCTAGATGTGCAGGTTATACACTCCACCCAACTCCAGGGAGAAATACTATATCCTATCTGACTGGTACCCTGGCACCTGCTGTATACCATCCATATAGCTGGCATCTCCACTACAGTCCTCCTCTATGGTCAACTTACCTGCCTTGGGGTCAAACTCAGGGCAGGGGCGGGGACCAAATTTTCTGAGAATTATGAGGACCAAAGTTTCTCCCCTACCATAGCCTCATTGACTTCCAGTTTGTTTTGCAATCTTCCCCGCTTCTGTTGCCCAGGCATGAAGCCCACAGCTCAATGAGAAAATTCTGGTTGACCTGAATTAAATCATCTTCCCTTTTTTCCAGTCCCGACCGCAGGCCGAATAAGAACATTTAATGTGCTCACATTGGAACTTAGTATTCAAATAACAAAACTAACCAACCAACCAACCGAATGAACAAAAAAAAAAAAAAAAAAAAAAACCAGTCTCTCTGTGAGTGAGTATACAGCCCCACCCTGCTGGCTTCCTGCAGGCAGCTCATCTGTTACAGAATTCAGGGAGAGTCACGTGGATGAACTTCCAGTCTCCACCTGCTTATTTTCTCCTCTGATGGTTGTTGGATACTGGGACTGTCTTATCATCTTAGTATAGGACATGACCAGAGAGACACGACCTTCTTTGGATGGGCTTTAGGGCACCACATTTTAGGAGAGCTGCTAGCATGGATGTTAGCACGGATGGAGCCCAGCTTAGTCCGGCATTTTTCATGATTGCATCAGAGGCCAAGCACCCAATCTATTGGTTTCTTTCAAAGGGCAACCTTTAGGGAAGGCTGCTTGTCTTTTAAGAAAACCATAATCCTACATATAATAGTCTATGCTAGATTGAAGAAACACGAAATTCCACAGTTGGAAAAGAAACGGAGGCAGATCATGTAGAGTTTCCTCTTTATGTCAGAGACAAGCCGAGAAAGAAGACTTGACTGATCTAAAGTCACCTAGGGAATTATTATTAGTGTGAGAACTAGCCTTGACCTTGGGTTCAGTGTTCTTCCAGAAAATGGTACTAGCTGTCCCTGAATATCTGCTTTCCAGCTAAATAGTAAATATTAGCTGGCTGATGTGGGCCTGAGCTGTCAATATTTCCAGAGTTCTGGCAGAATTTCCAAAATTCCACCTCCCCCTCACATTAACCCAACAGAGAGGGGCAGCTAACCTCTGAGCTCCAGTCAGACACTGTGGTTTTTAACCCTAGGACTTTACACTCACCTTTAGATTGACTAGGGTTAACCTAAGTTACCATTTGTCTGATTTCAGAACTTTCTAGATTAGATAAAGGGGGATGAGGGAAGGAAGTTCATGTGGGCACTTCTTACCTATAGGGGTCTTGGTCTGAAAGTCTCCTGAACTTTGACCTGATAGCCCAGAATGCAGATGTGGTTTGTGGGGTAAGCATGTGAAGGTTTACACTAGGATAATAAGAACTAGAAATTGTTATTTAAAAACCCTATGTAGATTTAGATTTACTTTCCTGATGGGACTTGAAGCTGATATCCTACCTTTAGGAAATCCCTCAGACTGTTACCTGGATACTGGTAGTACTGCTGGCTACGGGACCTTCTGGAAGTTTCTTTAGCTTCAATAATCCTCATGACTCAACTACCCTGTCCCCAAAGGAGGAACTGGGTACCTGTTCCTGTGCTTGAGTGGTTGTGTTAGTGAGAGATGTCTTCTCAGTAGAGGGCATGCTTTCACATTGCCCCAGGTATGAAACTCTACACATTGATACTGCTCCCATAGAGAGGGGGTGATAAACAGAAAACAGAGGGCCACGCCCACTTCATTGTAGTCAGTGTGAATGGAGCAAACTTCTTCCCAAGTACAGAATGACAGGGAGAAAGTGCTGTGTCTTTGAGATGAGAAAACCTTCCCAAGAGCAAGAGGGTCTTGCCTGACACAATCAGGAACTGTGTCCCTAGCTGACAAATAAGGCTTTCTTCTTGTTCTATGTTTGCCTCTGTCCTCACTCTGCGAACTTTCCAGAGGGACTCGAGTTCTACACCATAACTCCTGACTGACTAGAATTTAGTCTTGGAGATGATGATCAAAGCCCTGAGCCTCAGGCATCCAGATGCCTAACTTCAAGAGCTGTCAGCACGCATGGTGTTAGCTGCCATCTTTTTGCTAGCTTGTTAGCTATAGAGAAGGAACACACCCTCTCTTTGTCTTTGGCCCCTTCTACATCCTGGAGTCAAAATGGTCTTCTCTCCTCCCCTTCCCCAGCCTGCCCTGCTCACTACTCTGTGCTATGAACTGTGCCAGCCCACACCTTGTCTCTCTGGTCATTCCTTGCTACCATTTGTTTCTTCTAACGCATCTTTCTTGGACCAAGCTCTAAACATGCTTTTCTGTAGTTCAAGGGCTTCTTAGAGAGCCACACATAAGCATCTGACCCTGGTACTCAGGACCAAGGATTAAGCCCCAGGACCTTCCTGGCCTTGTTCTTTTTCCCTCAGTGCACCTATATCCAAATGTCATCAGACTCTCCAGCATTGCCTGTGTCACACCTGACGTCTGGACACTTGTTTCCATACCACCATGACTTCTTCCTAAAATGTGGTAACCCTTCTAACTGGACAGGTCATGTTCCGGTGTCCTTGAAATCATCACTCACGTCTCTTAGGTGATATGTATGTTGTGTTGTTTGTTATTACAATTGTTTGGACACATGTCAAATCTTCCTCTCAAGTTGTGAGTCCCTCTGTCACCTCTGCATGGTTGTATATACTTTATGGGTGACAAACATCTGCCCAGGTGACATTTATCTTTAGTGTTCATCCCATCTCCTCCATCAAGGGCATCTCTACCCTAAGACAGCACCTCAGGCTCCAGACTGCTCACCATCCATGCTTGCAGGGTTCTGCATTCACTAAGTGACCATCTAACCATGAGATTGGGTAGTCATAGACTAAGATCAGGACCTCCCTGACATGTGTGCTCAGCAGACACTGCCTTGTAGATTGCAGCATGCATGCTGATACTCTTCGACCTTTTCTTCACCATTGTTTATGACCTAGAAATAGCCACCACCCCAAGCTGAGGACCACTGCCTCCAGATGTGATTGATGCTCAGTTTTAATCAGTGAGGTTTAAAAAACACAAAACTTGTAAGGCCCAGTAATAAAGAACCTCGGATAGTAGAATTTCAGTCCAACAGTGTGGATGGGAAATATACTTTCTGAATGAGAAGACATCCAGACTCTCAAAAATCCATATTTGGTGTTATTATTCATTTTATAAACTCATGGTTGTTAAGACAATAGCACAAGCCAAAAATTTGAAAGTCATTAAGTCATTGGCATCCTGACCCAGTTAAACTTATAGTATGGACTTGATCAGTAGTCAGGGTCCATGTTGATCTAAGACACATGATTGTATATTAAATTTGCGTTTCTTGACCCAAGGACATATTTTCCTTTGAAACAAGTACAGTATGCTTAGAGATTTTTTTTTAAATCACCCATTGTCTTTTCATTGCTTTTCGGAGTTAGTTTGAATGGTGAGTAAATCGTCAAGAGAGAATCTGTTTCAGGCAGGCAGCACTTTCCATTGCTGAGGCGCTACTGCCTTCTCAGCATCCACTCTGACCCAACTGAAGTGGGCAATGGAGTGTCGATGGGTGGGGTGGGGTGGGGTATCTCTGGGATTGGGGGGGGTCTCTGTAAATAATCCACTCTTGGATGTCTGCACTGTGTGGGGTTCCCGTCATTCACTCTGTCACTGGCTCTGACTCGAATTCGTTCTCCAAATCGATCTTGCTTTCTGTAACCATGGTGAAGTCATAGTAGGATGAGGAGACAAACGGAAGAAAGCAGAAACAGGGAGAAAGAGAAAGAGAGAGAAAAGGAAGAGAGAGAAAAGTTAGCAAGCAAAGCAGAAATAGTTCATGCAGGAAATACAGAAACCACTCTTACCAGAACATTAAGAATGCAGTTTAGGCACAGCCAGTGTGAAGGACAGTTTAGGATTGCTGAATTTGTATCATTCTGAGAATTTGCATAGTGTTACATCCTGGCTCCTGAGGAAGATAAAATTCTGCCCCTGGCTGGGAGCTTGGATTGATCTGGCCAAAAACGCTTATTTGACAGATGGCATTCAGAGTATAGCGGGACTTGTCACCACAAAGTGGATGCAGGGCCAGGACAACAGCCCATAATTTCCCACTTCCTGTTCTTCTGTACATTTTTATCATCCCCCCCTTTTTTTTTCTTTTAGAGTATCATGTGTCCTAGGCTAGCCTTGAACTCACTACATAGCTGAAGATGACCTTGCATTCATAATCTTCCTGTCTCCACTCTCCATCTGTGGAGTGCTGTAATAACAAGCATGTGCTACCAAGCCTGGTATATTCAATGTTGGGGATTGGATCCAGTGCCTTGTGCATTCTAGGCAAGCATGCTACCACCTGAGCTACATTCCTGTCTCTCCACTGCATATTCCTTAGCTACACCTTGCACACTTTGTGTCTGTCTCAAACCCCTCACTGCACATCCCAATGAGTCAACTCATATTTTACCTGTGTGTCTTCCTTAGGACCTAGCAGAGTACCAGGTGCCCACAGATGCTCATAGATGCTGGGCATGTGTCAACAAGAGCTGTAACAGTCCTAATCTAGCTTAATGCAAATGAATTGGGTCAACTTTTAAGGATTAAACGGTAAGATTTTATACTTACCATTTTAAGTTCTGTGGCTTTCTAGCACAGGTCACACAAAATAATACGATCTGATATGGCCTTACTCTGTCAATGTGTCCATTGCAATAACCCGTGCGTTTCACCAGGGAAAAGTATTAATAGCACTTTCTGCTTCCAGAAATGTGAAACAGAGACACCAAACCCCTGCCCACCAACCGGGGTGGGCTGCATATAACTAAATGCTTCCTGCGTTGGAATGTATTTCAGGCTCTCTACAGGCATGGGTGTGTATAGGAACCCAGTTAGTTCTCACTACAATCTTGACCACAGAGGATAAGGCCAAAAGAGTGTGAGCAAGTTACCTAGGCCCACCCACTGCTAGAATCTACATTTAAAGCCACAGCTTCCCGACTACAGAGTTGGGATCAGTCCTGAGCACCAGATACTTCCACTGCTAATGATCCTTGCTATGCCCTGCAGGGGATCTGGTTTAGAACCCTGTCACATTGCATACTGGGCCACCTAGTGGAGGGGCATCTGAGGTCCTCAGGCTAGACCCAGCCCTTTCCATCTAAATTTTCTACAGAACCCTGCATTGCCATCCAGGAAGCACTGACCTTATTGAAGCTATGAAGTGACTGTCTTTGTGCTTACACCCCCCCCCACTACAGCCTATCTCCATATGAAAAGGAAAAAAGCCCACTCTGATTTTAGGTGCTGCCTGAGGTTTGCCTGAAGGGAGTCCTTCTGCCAGGATTCCTTGGGCACAGAGGGAAGGGAGCTGTCTGAAGGCTGGATGGGAGCTATTTAGAAGAAAAGGAAGGGGAAAGAGCCCAAGGGCATGAAATGGGCATCGATGCAAGTGACTATAATGTCTGGACTTCTCATTCTTACTCTAAAGCAAGTCCCAGAGGCCGCCTCACCTAACTGCCACTACACTTTTGCTATACATTTATGTATAGTTGCTAAAATCATGGCCCAAACTTTTACATTTGAAATCACATGGGTATAGGAGTAACCTGGTAGTAATTGGAAATCTATATTCTTTTACAAAACTCAAAAGACAACTTATGTGGGTTATTCCTCTCTAGAACCATGTTCTAGAATTAAAGCTAAACTCTGTGCTTTACAGTTACAGCAAAAGACCTTGTCCATGGTCATGTGATATGTTAGGGGGAAACAAGGCAAGAACTCTGGGTCACCAGAGCAAGTGTCCTCTACTTTATATAAGTCCACTATGCTGGGGCCATAGCCCTCCCTACAGAGCCCTAAGTCATCAGCTGACTCGGAAGACTTAGAAGTTGAGTGATTGTCATGTAGACATTCAGTACCACTCAATGAACTCTTAGCATCGGTGCCAAACTAATTTCTCAAACTAGTAAACCCCAGCTGGAGCTCGTTTCAGACCTTGAGGAAATGCTATTCCGTTTACTGCATTTAGTATTCTATCTGCAGGTGGAGAGAAGAATTTGTGTTAAGCCAGGCCATTCAAAAAGCGTGTGTGTTTCTAAAATCTTATTTCTGAAATGGAAATGGGCTCCCGTATTCCTTCGTCCAGTCTTATATCATGGTGATTGATTTCCAACACCGTTCTCAGAGAGCCATGGCAAAGCTTTCAACCCTGCATGATTGTTGTTCTGACCCCACCACGAAGACACACATCGCTGTAGCCAATCCATTTGGTTTCCTTACTTTTACAGGTGGGAATCTTGTTACTCCATGTACCGTCCTTCAGACATTCGATCTGGAACGTGTCCATTATCTCACTATCCTGAAAAGAAACCCAGAAGGCAATGAGAAGAAGGAGGGGGTGGATTAGCGAACATATCTCAGCAAAGATAACTCCAACTTCAAACCTGGCTGACTTCAACTGGGAATTCCCCTGGGAGCCCCAAAGGCAAATTTGCCCATAACAAAAAGACAGCTGCTCACTTTGTCACCCACATTTGTACTCTGAGCTCAGGCAATTGTCTCTAGAGAAAAAAGTTATAGTTTTGACTCTAGTTTCAGAGCAAGGCTTCTCCAACTGGAGCTAGCTGTCAGCGGAGACAGACTCCTGCTCCCTGCCACCACAATTCCAGTTCAGAACTACTGACCTTCCCACGGAGTCATAGTTCTAACAAGCTCCCAGGCGATGCTGCTGCTAACGCAGCCCTTTCCTGAGGGCAATTCCTCCAGAGCAGTGGGTCTCTAGCCTGGCTGTACAATGGGCTCACCTGGGGAACATGAAGATACCAAGCACTGGTTCCATCCCCCAGTCTCGGCACATTGGAACTCCTGTTGTCTTGAAAGGTATGGGTAGGTGGACCGCCACTTAGTAATTAGAGGAGTGCCATCTGCAATCTTTAAAGCCCCTGCCTCTCTTTCAGCACCAGAGCACTCTGTCTCTGATGAACTTTGTTAAAGGTCCCGAATTTTAGAGCCCTATGATCCTGTATTTAAAAATTCAGGGCAATTCATGCCCCGATAAGCTGTTTTTGTACCATGTCCTAAAGTGAGAGGGGGCTGGGATGCATCATTTTGAATCCCTGGAGTCTTGGGAAGCTGCTTAAGGGGATGCTAGGAAACACTGAGCTGGCAGCTCACACACGGTGGGGGCCTCTGGGGAGTCCCTCCAGCCCACTCCGTCTATCCCGGCAGGGCTCTGCACCTTTAGAACTTTGTAGCCCGTGTCACAGCTGATGAGCACTTGGTCTTTGAAGGAATACACGGCTTGCAAGGGCTCGATTTTCCCAAATGCAGGAGGCTGTAGCTTTGGGCACTCGTTTCCTGGCAGGAAGCAAACGAAAAGACATCAGCGAAGGGTCAGCAGCTAGGAAGCAAGGCCTGAAGGAGGTGGAAACAACGGGACTGGGTGTCCAGATTTTGGAAACCAGGGGTGGGTCGTTTTCTAATGTGGCCTTCCATTTCTTCCTTTGTAAAGTGAAGAGTCCAGCCAAATAATTTCATTAACACTGGCAGATTGGAGGAACACTAAAGGCCATTGTCTCACAGCAACAACAGGGAGCTCACCCCTGGGGTCTGAACTCCAGGGATACACGGGGCTAAATAAACAAGGGCTTCCTATTCACTTGACATTGGTGCCCTGGCATTTTTCACTCACTGGCTACTCAGGATGACCACAGTGACCATTTCTTCCGGGACACTAAGAGGCTGTGTTCAGATGCTTCTGCTTCTCTTAAGGGGCTGATCCAGACAAGAAGCTCAGTGGGTCCAGCCCTGACACCTTCTCAGGAACAAACCTTCTTTTGTTAACTCTTGGTCACCCCTCTCCCCATGTGGCAATGCAGGCCTCCTGGTTCTATGAAGATGGTTAGTCACTCCCCATTGGGGTCTACTTTCTTTTTCCTTGAGTTATTACAGACTTACTGAGTCATAACCCCCTCTGGGCTTGTATCGGGACTAGCTGCCTTGGGACACTAGGAATTGGAGCTGCAGGCTCCGCCAGGCCAGGGACCCGCATAGAGACTGGTCTCTGCGGGGCTCCAGGACCACAGGCTCCAGTGCCAGACTTGGAGGAGTGTAACAGTCCTAACCTAGACCCCTCAGTTTAAGGAATCTCCCTCCGTGTGATGGGAAAAGAACAGGTGTGTTTTCAGTCTCTCCACGTGATACCGAAGTGTCTCGAGTATAAGCTCACTCTCCCTGGTTCCCAGTTTCTTGAAGTTCCACTTGGACTTTTCCCCTCCTCCCTCAACAACCCGCTTTGTGAGCAGGGTGTACAGTGGCTCAGGGAAGGGGAAAGTTACCTGCTGCCCTGTAGGAGAGCCTCCAGCCTCGGTTCTCTCCTGAGTTGTCGCTGCGGAATAGGATCTGGACACTGTGACTCTCCGTACTGATTGGCTCTGGGGATGTCTCTCCACAGAAGGGCCCCCATACCTTTGGACCAGCTTTAATCTAAGAAAAACAATATATATATATATTCATATCTGAGTGGTACAGGGCCCTGCTTCAGGCAGGTGAGTGCTAGAATTTTCTGGAAGCCCTAATGTAAATCTATAGTATACACTCTTGGTTTCTTTTAGACTTACTGATTACCAAATGGCTTTATGTTCATTTTTTTCTCATAATTTCAGTGGCCTTTGGAGTTAAGAAAGCAAGTTAATAATGTTGTGGTTAGCAATGAACATTTTGTGGGCAGTCTTGTACAGTACCCAAAATAGTTGAGGGTCCCACTCTCAAAGAATCTGTATTTTACTGCAGTGACTAACAATAAATAAGTGAAATAATAATTATATATACATACACACACATATATATGTAACAGGAACGTGTGCCATATTTTATAACTCCAGTATTAGACTGTATATAATCTAGAGAAGACACCATTTGTGTAATTAGGTATTAAGGAAGTCCCTATGATGAAATGACATTAGATCTGACACAAAGGACGAGTGGAAGGAAACAGAAAAGCAGCATATTTTTCCAGCCACTTTCCAGAAAGAAAAAAGCAAGGCCAAAGGTGATAAAGATCTTGGCAGGTGTGAAGAGTAGGGGGAGTCCTTGTGGTAGAAGATGAGGTTGGACAGACTGACAAGGATCTTGTTTTGTTGAGGAATTTAGCTTAATTCTGCCTGTGCGCAATCCTGGTCTGATCTCCTCACTGTAGCCCTTTATACTGTGGGAAACTTCTTGAAAACTTCATATATTTACAATGTGTTTTGATTATATTTGCCCCTCGAATCCCTCCATCCCTTCCCAGACCCCACCACCACAGCTCCCTTCCAGCACCACAAATTCCTCTTTCCATAATCCACTGAGTCTATTCAGTGCTGGCCGTATGTACATGGATGTAGGACCATCCACTGAAGCTTAGGCAACCTACCAGGGCCCACTTCCTTAAAGAAATGCATTTTACCTTGGAAACTTTCACCTGCCAAAGCTCTTCAGCTAGGTGTTGGTCTTTGTGAGCCCCTCTCTCATCTATGATGACTTTGACTGACTTGATCTTGAATAGGTCTCATGGGAGCAGCCACAGCTGCTCCCATCTCATGAGTGAAGCAGTCCTGTCGTGTTCAGAAGACACTGTTTTGCAGAAGTCCTCCCCAGTGACCCCTGTCCTCACAATCCTTCCACCTCCTTTTCTACGGTAGTCCTTGAACTGTACTGGGGAGTGGTGTGACTTAGATGACTACTTAGGGCTGAGTCTTTACTCATTTTCTGCACTTTGAACAGAAATGCATCTCAGTATTAATCATAGCTCATTGTAAAAAGAAGCTTCTCTGCTCAGGTTGAGAGCATCACTAATCCATGCACATAGAGAGAAGTATTTAGAAAGCAGTTTGACAGTATGTCTACCTAACAAAATGATAGTAGTGGGTTCTTTCTTGAGGTCTATGACTTTTCCAGGCATAGATTCTTTGCCAAATTTGCAGGGCTAGGCATGAATATTATTTTGTGGTGTGGGCCTTAAATTCATCCATAAACAGTTGGTCACCCCATTAACATTTATGTCACTATTGCATCCAAGGGCCTATCTTGCCAGGCTACTGTCGTAGTTCACAAGGCTCATTCCTGGGTATGACTGCTGGTGACAATCTTCCTTCAGCAGCCTCTGTGGTACCACAGGCACCTAGCTAGTAAGAAAGAAACTTCTAGGTCAGAGCCAGCTTGATTTTTCCACACTCTGTTCTCAAGTGTATGGTGTCTTCAGCAAGAAGCTCTTACCTTTACTTCTGATGGGTAGCAAAGAGCAAATGAAAACTGTGCTTTGTTTATCAGGGTTCTATGGGATCTCTCTGGCTGACAACTTGAAGGGTAGTATCCTATACCTGCCACTGGGCTCTTCATTTGATAACTATACCTTCTGGAAGAAGCCTTATTCCCTTATATTAGATAACTCCATTTGAACTCTTGTGAATATAACAGATAGATAGATATATAGAGAGATAGACAGATAGACAGATAGATAGATAGATAGATAGATAGATAGATAGATAGATAGATTGATCGTATGAAGCTTCTAAATTAGTATATTTCCATATGGCTCTTTCAACATCTTTAGTGTTAGTTATCCCTCCTGTCTTAGTAAGAGTTATTATTGCTGTGATGAAACACCACAACCAAAAACAAACTAGAGAGGAAAGTATTTATTTGGCTTATGCTTCCACATCACTATCCATCTTTAGAGGAAGTCAGGGAGGAACTCAAGCAGGGCAGGAACCAGAGGCAGGAGTTGATGCAGAGGCCATGGAGGGGTTCTGCTTATTGTCTTGCTCCTATAGCTTGCTCAGCCTGCTTTCTTATAGAACCCAGGATCACCAGCCAAGGGATGGCACCACCCATAATGGGCTGCCCCCGTCCCCATCAATCACTAATTGAGCAAATGCTCTACAGGCTTGCTGACAGCCCAATCTTATTGGAGGCATTTTCTCAGTTGGGGTTCCCTCCTTTCAGATGACTCTAATCCCGTGTCAAGTTGAGGTTAGCCAGCACACATCCAATCCCTCCTCTGCCTTACTCCCTTAAACCACTGACGCCTTTGTCCCATCCAAGCGTTTCTCCCCAGCATCTCCTTTATCCTCATGCCTCCTGTCACCTGCTATCTTCACTCCCTGAAAATTTTACTTCTCGCCCTGGTGTGGCCTCTTTCTGGTTTCATGGCTTCTACAGTTACTCTGAATTAATCACACATATCTAAAGACTCTAAGCTAGCACCCACATATGAGAGAGAGCATGTAATGCTTGCCTTTCTAGGACTGGGTTACTTCACTCAATATTTACCAGTTCCATCCATTACCATTTAATAATTTCAGCTTTCTTTACAGTTGAATAGAACTCCATTGTACATATATACCTCATTTTCATTATCCATTCACCAGGTGATGGGCATCTAGGTTTTTTTTCTATGTGAATAGAGCAGCAAGAAATATGGATAATAAGTTATCTCTACAATAGGATGTAGAAACTTTTGAACAGACACAAAGGAGTGATATAGCTGGGTCATATAGTAATTTGGTTTCTAGTGTTTTGAGGAACCTCTACACTGATTTCCATAATGGCTGCATCAATTTACATTTCCACCAACAGTGAGTAATGGTTCCTCTTTTAACAGCATTTGCTGGCATTTGTTTTCTGTATCTTAGCCATTCAGACTGTGGTGAGATAAAACCTCAAAGCGATTTTAATTTGCATTTCTCAAATGGCTAAGGATTTTGAACACTTAAAAATTGTTTTAGTCATTTGTATTTCTTCTTTTGTGAACTCTCCATTCGGGTTCATTTTTTTAAAAATTAGGTTGTTGTTTTTCTTTATGTTTAGTTTTATTAGTTCTTTGTATACTCCAGACATTAATCCTTTGTCAGATGTACAGCAAGCATTAGTTCCCATACTGCTGCTGCCTCTTCACTAGTTCTGTGGTTTCCTTTACTGTACAGAAGCCTTTGGAATTCATGAGGCTGATAAGAGGGACTCCTCAGAGACGAATAAAGAGGAAAGTGAGAACAGCTCTTTCACCATTATAGAATTTGAGACCTGCAAAAGTTAGGAATAAAATTCTGCCACCAGCTTAGATGATCTTGGAAGTGGTTTCTTCCCTAGAGCCTAAAGGTAAGCATCTCATGAAATTGACACCTTGGTTTCAATCCCATGAGACTCCAACAGAGAGCTGATAGAGCCCACTGGGACTTCTGGTCTACTGAAGCATGTGATAAGGGTTGTTGCAAGCTGTTGTGTTGGGAGCAACTTACTCCACAGCAACTCAAGCCTGCCCTGTGTCACAAACATTCCTCCTGTGTCACCTGTAACCAAGCTCCCTCTTAGCTTGGACTCACTAGGGGGCAGACCAGGCTTCAAGTACTTGAGCTTCTCACAGGGGTTCCTGCGCTTTCCTGCTTCTGTCCCTGATGACAGTTCCTTTTCTGACCTCGATGATGGCCCTGCTCACTCTGCCTGTGTAGCTCTAGGAACTCATGGGTTCCAGCTCTCATCATTTTTGCTTTCTTGAACTGCTCAGTGTGTGCTTGGCTTAGATTAGCATCTGTTTACATACTAGGTGGCACCTTTATTTCTCAGACTCAGTATCTCCCCTGAAATCAGAGCCCAATATTTGGCTTCACTCAGACGCTCTACCTGGCGCTGTTGGAACTTATATTCCACCTTCTATACATCTGAGAACTGTTTCTTCCACTGTTCCAGTCAAAGCTCAAAATTAGTTACCTTGCAAGTTATTGCCCTTGGACATTTTCTTCCCTTCTTATTGCCCTTATAGTTGTCTCTTCCCTCAAATGTATGGGATCTAGTACAAACAAAACCTCTGAGCATCTTGTTCAGAGTGTATTAAGAGGCTCAAGGTGGAAACAGTAGCACCTTAAACCCAGAATGAGTCCTTTGTGAGCACAAAGCCCCATGCAACTGGCTGAATCAGCTTCAGGGGACCTTCCTAAAATATAAGTTTGACTTTATAATTTTCTACTTCGTATCACCCTAGTGACCAGAGTGCTGGTTTGGAATCAGAGGAGATCCCAACCTGGAGCAGACAAGCTAAAATAGCATTTTAAGCAATGGCATTCGGGGAAGCTGGTGGCTTAGCTCTCTATCCTAAGAGAAGATGAAAAGCCAACAGCCCAGAACATTGATTTGTTTTTCCCCAATTGAGCCAAGATGCTTCAGCATCCTTGGGACAAGCAACCATTGCAGGCTTACCTTAATGTAGTCATATGGGCAGGGCACCTCAGGATGGTCCTCAATGTCAAAAATGTCCTCAAACTGCAGGCTGATCATGAAGCCCTCCTCCAGATCGATAGTATAGGAGCATTCGGAGCTCTTGGGGTATGGGTTGGGGTAATCAGGGCTTGTGATGGTGCCTGTCCTCTGGGTAAAGAGATTTCCACTGCATTCAACTGTGGAGAACATAACAGAAAATGGCACTCTGTTGACACAGACACAGCCAATCCTTGATCATCCATCTCTCTGTGTAATATTTAGAGTGTTCCCAAGAGGTTGTCAGAGAAGGAATCCCTGTTTTACTGAGAAACGGAAACACTGTGGAGGGCAATGGTCTATCCACCATCACCTGTGCAAAAATTTGTAGTCAGGATTCAACTGTAGACTTTCTAAGTCTCTCTAGGTAGGGTTTCCCAGATGATGACCCTTGCCCTAGAACGCTCTGGCAGGGGCAAGCAGCCACTCTGAGAAAGAAAGGTTTTAAGATGAAGGGGCAGGTGGTATGTCTGGTCCTCTTTGGGTCTTTCTTCCTCCATTGCCTGGATATCTCTCAGGTCTTGCTCACTCATTCTTGGTCCTCATCTAAGAAAAGTCCCTTCCACCAACCCCCACTGCTCAGCCTCTGTTTTTTTCTTGTCTGCACAGGTCCATACTGTCTGACATCATGTCACACACTCCTTTACTGACTCCTTGCTACCCCCCCCATTAAACTGACTTCTGTGAACCCCAGGATTCTGTTGTTGTTGTCTTATTCCTGCTACCCAACGTGCAGCTCCTCGGGAGCCTCGCCATGACTTCACCCATTATAGGCTGTTGAACCTTGGTCCCTTGGACTGGCCCCTCCCAGGCTTGGCATGTCTGTGCCTTGTAAGCCTTTGTTCATTCTGCTCATTTTGCAAATGAGAAAACAGTAGCCCAGAATGGCAAGCATGACTAATGTAAAGTTCCAACAAGTACTGCAGAATGAGGCCTCTTGAATCCCCATCTGTTTTCACTTTCTACCCTGAGCATTCTCGTGGGGGAAGTTTCACCCTTAGGAGGCCTAGGAATGAAATGGGCAGGGGAAATCTGACTGTTCTTATTCACGGTGCACAGGTAGAAATACGGTTCATAAGCAGATGCACAGCATACCTGTAGTTTTTTTTTTTTTAAAGATTCCTGGGGTCAGGGTGAAAAAAGTGAGACTCTGAGCTTTCATGCTTCTCTTTGAGAAAATTGTTTTTAAAAAGTACTACTTTATGTAAGTGGGTTTATATAGGAAGCACATGGCTTTATTCAGCAAGTCTTAAAGGAAGAAGTGAAGAGCTCCTGTCTCCAATCTTGGCTTCCTTCCCTGAGCCTTCTCCAAGTAGGTTCACAAGTGCAGAACCCACCCTGGGCCATACTAACATACAGGCAATTCCCTAAATGTCTTATGTTCTACCACACCTCTGGATCATTTTAGGATTTGTTCTGCCTGTGTGGAATGAGATTCCCATATGCTTTCACTCCTGTCAGGAGGCACGTTTGTCACTTCTCCAGGCCAGCTCAGGTGACCATGCTTCATTTATGCAAGCATAGCAAGTATAAACACATGTGTATGTGGCTGCTGCCCAGTTAGCCTGGGGACTACCCCTGACTCGCCACCTCTGACCCAACCTGAAACAGCAAAGCAGAAGTCACGAAGGCATGAGGTGACACAGCCATGAAGGGATGAGCCGCTTTCTCCCTATCTTTACCCTCTTTCTGCCTTTGTCCTTTGGTCTGAGGTGAGCTCCGTTAGAGAGGGACAGAGGGGCCGCTACTGAATAAAGAGAAAAAGGAATCTTTGGCTGAATTTATGGCTCACAGAGAAAGGATTGGAAAACTCAGGTTTCCCATCACTTGGCCAGGTTGGCTACCTGCAGTAGGAGAGGGGACAGAAACCTGTGAAACAGACTTTCTGCCCAGCAAGGGCTTTCTGACTTCAGAACTTCTTGTATTCTCCTCTGACATTGGACCCTGGACTTATAGTAGGGTCAGCATATATCCACATAGTATGTGTGAGTATCTCTGACTTCATTTTTTAGTGCTCCCACCCTCTGTGTGTGTGTGTGTGTGTGTGTAAATGCAGGTATACACACCTGTGCATATATGATACAGAGACCAGAGTTCAATGTCAGTGATCTTCTTGGTGCTCCCCACCTAAGTTTGGGAGCGGGTCTCTCACTGAACCCGGAGCTGGCCATTTCATTTCTGTTCGACTGGTTGGCCAGCAAACTCCTTCTACTTGTTAGCACTGAGATTACAAGCACACATCACCAAGGCCAGCTTCCACACAAGTGCTGGAGTTCTGAACATAAGTTTTCATGTGTGTGTGTGCAGTAAGTTCTTTACCCACTGAGCCGTCTCCCCAGCCCTGACTTGCTTTTTAATTGTAGGCACCATGTGTCTGTGTCTCGCATGATCTTATTGGAGCACGTGACATATCATGAGATGGCACAGAATCACCTTTCGACCCTACCTCGGCAGGTCCTGTTGTCCGTGTGGAGGATGTAGCCAAAGCGGCAGGAGCAGTAGTAGCCGCCGATGTAGTTGTGGCAGTGGTGGTCGCAGGAGAGTTCTTCATCTTCTCTCTCCTCGCACTCATCTACGTCTGTGGGGCAGGCAGGGCCTCTCATCAGTCACTGCACGAGTGGCCATGAGGCCGCATTTACAAAACACTTGAGGTCATTCATTGTTCAGGGAGGATCATGCTTTTCTTACACTTAATCCTGTGTAAAGCCCAGAGGTGGCCATTATCTCCATTTGTCAAATGAGGTAAGCAGAAACCAGAGAAGTTAAGCAGCTTGCCCAAGATCACAGAGAGCTAGGTCTGAACCTAGGCAATCTGAGCCTTGGTAGAGGTAATGGCCACATCTTGGTTGCAATAATTGCCTCACTCTGTTCCACAGTTTTACCACCCTCATACTGTGGATGATGAAACTGAGGCAGAAAACTTGGGGCTTCTTCCAGAGCTTGGCTCCGACAACATCCTTAATCCCTCTTCCCCTGTCCTAGATCAAGTCCTGTCCTAGATGCTCGAACATCCATTTCTCCTATAGAAGTACAGGAATAGCCAGTAAGTATACAAAAAAATATCCACCATTATTAAGCATCAGGGGATACAGTTTAAGCCACACATATTCACCAGGGAAAATAAAAATGAGGGAAAAAGATTGACAACATTTAATGTTGACGAGGACAAAGAGCCATCAGAAATGTCATACACTGATACATAAAATCCACAATAGTGTGGAGAAAAGCTGGCAAGTTCTTGTAAAACTAAACACAGCTGTCCTCAAACCAGCAATTCTGTGTCTAGATAGTCACCAATTAATAGGAAAACATATGTTCATAAAAAGGTTAAAAGAAACTTTGTTAGGGAGTGTAAAAAAAGGAGGGGGGATGCCCACATGTCTGTCAATGGGAAAATGGACAAAAACATTACAGTGTATTCACGCAATTGAATGAGTTCTGCCGGGAAGCTACAACAAAATAAATGAATCTTAGAAACATTATGCTGAGCAAAAGGGCAATCATGTCCCCACTATATTTCCTGTGTGTTCATTTATATGACATTTTGGAGGCAAAAACTCATTCATGGAAGAAGAAGGAACCAGTGTTTACTGTGAGGGAATTGGGAGCAAAGAATTTAATTGGACGAGAACACAAGGAACTTTCTGGCAGATAGTGAATTTTAATGTGTGCTGAGGGTCTTGGTCACACAGAAATGCATATTTTTTTCAAAATAGAATAAATGCATACTTAAGATTTGTACATTTCATCATAGGCATATGCTATGGCCAAACAAAACATTGCTAGGAGGTGTTAAACTAGGAAGCGGTATATACTGATAACTGCCACTGCTCTGGAACTTCTCCAGACAGGTGAATTGTTGGGTGAGTAGTGGCTAGCTAGATGGATGCATCTGTGACCTGTGGAGCAAATGCAGCAAGCCCCTGAAGGCAGAACCCACCTGCAGGCGCCAGCTGAGGAGAAAGCACGAGGTGACTTCCATGTCTAGAGACGAAGGGAGACCGGATGATGAGGAGACTTACCTACAGCCATGTAGTGAGCATCAAAGCCTGTGAACCGCTCCTCATTGGAAAAATCGGACCGGAAAGTGACAGACATGAAGGAGCCAGGAGAAAGAACCACTTCCTGGCCGGGAGTCTGCTCCGTGTCAGTGGTCTCCCTGCCACAGAAGGTCGCCAGCACCTGACCTTCTGTTTCTACCTTTGGGGTCAAAGTGAAAAGGAACAAGATGAATGACTTCCCGTGCCAGCCTCTCTCCAGATCTTCAAGAAGACAGAGGGCAGGGCTGCCCCCAGCAGATGAGGCAGCCTGGGAAACTCAGAAAGAGGGAAGTAGGGACTCTAGGCTATGAGGAAGACGCGGGACTTGTGCATGTGAATGTGGCCACCAGGTCAGTCTCATTCGTTCTGTTTAGTTCTCTCAGCAGGTGATTAGTGCCTGCCATTCTCATTGCCAGCCAGATGAGTTAGTTGTTCATTGGAAACAATTCAATGGAAAATTTAAAAGAGAGCTAGATAACCTCACAGGCGTGTTCTAAATGCAACAGGAACTTAACCACACTTCCAGGGAAGAGAAACTACACACAATAAGTCATTCACAGAGCATCCAGTGTGTGCCTGCCACCGAACAAAGCGTGAGATGGGGTGGTGAGAGATGAGCTAGGCTCAGTGTTATTCCCGGGGTCGGGGCATTTAGTGGAGTTGTGGCGGTGTGACAAGAGAATTCATAGAAGCAGTCTGGGGGTGAAGGGTCCCCAATGGAACATAAGCGACAGGATATTAGGAGTGTTTGGCTTTTAATCACCATTTCCCTGGTACATGGAACAGAACCTGGAATATAGCTATTTATCCAATAAATATTTGCTAGCAAGAACTAAAACTTCAAGACACGTTGTGAGGGCTGTGAGGAGTCGGGGAGTTGGTGAAAACTGGAGGAGGTGGCTGGGCTTGAAAGGATATTGCAGCCTGTTGTGGTTGACCTTTGATGACATCAATGCCACGAGTGGAAGACACTGAAAATTTTTGAATATGAATTCATGTACTCATAACTGCATTTAATAGTTAGTCCTCAAAATTTAGAGACCTTCTTTTGGAGGCATCCAGAAGTGGCATGCATATAAGCGTGTTGAGATCAGATGCAAAATGTCCCTACTTGATAAAAGAATTTCTCACTTTGGAAGGGCTAGAGACCCTGTGCAAAATTTGGAAACCAAAGCAGAGGTAATCGACTGGTTGCTTAAAGCTGACTTTCTGTGTCTTGTCGGGAAGCTATTTGGTGTAGTTGTTTGACTATGCATTTAACCAACTTCCTTACTCCTGCTCTGTAGCCTTGAAGGTCATTTGATTCTTTTAAGCTTGTATTTCTGTGTTCTGCATTGATGTTTTAACCAAGCTGCAGGAGAAGATCCTATGGAGAATAGTTTCTGCCACTAAAGGGAAGTTTTCAAAGGCTGTCTGTCTAGACTGGCTTTTACTAAGTCCATTGTTCTGTTCCTTAGCATAGTATGGCAGAATAGCTTGACATTTGACACTTCTGTTTTGAGACTAATGGTTTATTTATTTAAAATAAGAAGGAAAGCAATTTTCCCTGGCAACAAAACACAAGGACAATTAATCACTAATGTTGGGAACTGAAGTGTAAACAGGAGATGAGATCATGCCTTTGCCGTTTGTTCTTTCTGCAGATAGGGTCTCCCACAGCCTCTGACTGCAGAATGTACCTCTCTTTATATAGCTGAAACTCCGCTCCTCCACCTCCTAGCTGCCATGGGGCTCGGGGGCTTTCCAGATACCCAAAGGCTTTCTCGCAGTAATGCTTCCAACCCCTTTCTATCAGGCAGAGTACTTCCTTTCAAAGGCATGTTTTGTGTGAATCACTAGTTCCTCAAGTACAACACACTAAACTAAGCTTTCCTTACAGAGATCAAGCATCACAAATGTCAAATGTCATGTTACTACATCAAAGTGGGACCCTCAGGGATACTGAGCCAAGAACGTTCACGCTGCATGGACCTCTGCTCAGCTGTATGCCTTTGAGGTTTTTATGCCTTCCTCATGAGGTGTTCTACTCTGTATCTTTTAATCAGGGTAGTGGCTATGCTTTTCTGTCTGCCTACTTTTAATGTGTTGTGAATTAAAGTAGAACCTACTTACGCTGCTCTTGTTGGCATTCCACAGGAAGGAGACAGGAGATTTAGAAGGACAGCAAAACCCCAGTGCTGTAGCTTGCTGTCGGTGGTTTGGAGTACTGTAAGAGGTGTGGACCACATGCTCACCCAGGCTTTCTATTCCTGCCCCTGCTCCCCTCTCTCTGCCTCTCACTTCTTCTCCTGTAAAGCAGGGGTTTTAAGCTGCTGGGCGGATTGAGGACTGTTGTCCTAAAATGTCATCACTGCCATACACTAAAGAAATGCACTGGAACAAGGTGAGTAGGCATCATCACGCACAGATCTGGGCTGCCTAGTGAAGTTGAGCTTTTTTATGAACCACATTGACATGCTTGAAAATTGATGATACCAATGAACTGTCAGGCCTTAAGCAATATGAGCTCAGGCACAGAAACCTTCCTTCAGGCTGGCAGCCCCGCCATCTCTCAGTTTTTGCAGTGCAGGGAGCACAGGCTTGTTCACACAAAATTAAGTACAGATGGCTGGGAACAGAGATCTACCAAGGGCCTCTAATGAGTTTCCTCAGCCTTGCAACTTGTGGGGCTGAGAATCTTCTCATGATGATTAAGCAGTCTTTACCTGTAGAACCACAACCGTCTAGAGACCAGGGATGTGCGCTCCAGCTTACAGCCAGAAACCTGAGTCATACACTCTTTTAGAAACAGACAAGAGACAGTCTAAGGTCCTAGGAATTCAGCCTGCAGCCCAGAATAGAAGCCGAGCACACTGCTGGTGAGGGGGGCCAACAAGAGATTTAGTCTCCCTTCTTCCAGAGGAAGCTGAGGCTGGGAGGGGAAGTGACTTCCGGAAGAACAGAGAGATAGCACAAGCACTTCTGATACCAGTTTTGCTTTTGAAACAGTTCTGTGACTCGGGAGAAGCCACAAACCCAGTAAGTGAAACAGAGTGTGACAAAGGACAGACACTTGGCCAAACAATTTTCCTGGCTCAAGAGCCTCTTGAAACCTTATCTGGGGTTCATGTATTTTTCTCCCAGAGAGAATGTGGCTCAGTGACAGCTCCAGCCTTAACCTAAGTCAAGGCTCAGTGACCCTGGTAAACACTTGTATCCCACTGCTGGGTTAAGTAGTACCGCAAAGACCGTGGGCCTCTGAGTGCAGCAATGTTGATCTGTAGCTTCCGTTATGACTGTCCTTGTATCTAGAGTTATCATATAACTGTGGTCAAGTGAAAACACGTGATTCATAGCTTGAGGCTCATGTGACTGAGCATTATAGGCTCTGCGTTTCCCATTTCTTATGGTGGCATCCATATTGTCCCAGGCTATTGTTATTTAGGGCACCAGTATGTGGTTGCACGTAGTCCGTTTGGCTCCTTTTAACTCCATTGATAGATACTTACATACTAAGTTCTGTCTGGACTACCATATGAAGGATGCCCTAAATTACTTATTCTGTGACATGAGCTAATAAGCATGGCCCCTGCCCCTGGGGAAGTGAAATTTAGTAGGAGAATAATATAAATGCTCAAATGTATGGGCTATGATAACTGCAATGAAAGATGGATAGCCTTGGGCTTACAGGAAGGAAAACAAATGTAGCCAGCTGAGAGGACCCAGAAAATATTTGGGATCTAGAGACATAGTTCAGTTGTAGAGCACTTACCCAGCTTGTTAAGGACTCTGAGTTTTGCACCTAGTACCACAAAAAGAAAGGTCAAAGAAAGAAAACACCCAAGAAGAGGGAAAATATCCTTAGAAGTGAAGAGTGAGTAGGATTTAGGCAGTAGAGAGAGGTGATGGAGAAGAGAGAACATATAGGCAGAAGAAAGAGTGTTTAGAGTCTCACACCAGTGTGCACCTCCATGCCCCGGCCACCTGCTGTACCAGAGAGGGTCCTATTGTACTGGGGACTGGACAACACATCTCAGGAGAGAGGCTAGGTTTTGTTTTCCATAATTCTTTTCCAAACACAAGCCTCCCAGACAAAGCTGAGGTGGGTACCAGGAAGCCGGGTAAGTTTCTGTGGAAAGACAGTGAGGGCTCACATGTGTGTAGATGTATCACAATAGTTTCGCTCAGAACACTCGGAGAAAGCATTTTGGGAGAGATCATTCTTGCTCTGCAGATGAATAAAGCTATGCCTAGACAAGTTTACTGAATTGGACAGCATGAATAAGAACCAGTGAGTGACACATGATCTATTATTAGATGAATACAGTGAGCCATGGGTCCAGGCTCAGAATGATAACACGAGAATTCTCCTATGTTCTTGGACTTCCTTTAAGTTCTCTGTTTGGCTCACTGCCCGAGATGGAGCTGCTTTAAGAACAGTAGACAGAAAAAAACTCTCCCATGGTCCAGGCACTTGCACTTAGCTTGTCAACACTCACAAGCTATCCCAGGGCCCTTCTGAAACTTGCTCTGGGCCCATGAAGAACTTTTCAAACTTATTGTAGGCAGACATCAGACATTACTAGTAAGGAACACCTTACTACTGTTAGTGAGGTATTCCAGTAAGGGTTTCCTTCCTGTATAATGCTAGGGTTGGCCCAAAGAGGAGCTTGTGCCAATCTGGAAAGTGGAAACCATTACTCTGTCAAGATGGTTTTGGACAGATGAGAGAAAGCCCCTTATGTTCTAACTTCTCTTCCTATCCTTTATACAGTCACCTCTCCATTCCACACCACACTCTGAGGGCCAGCGGTGGTCTGTATCTACTGTCAGGTATGGGAATGTGGACCCATAAATGTGCTGCCTTCTTTGAGCCGAAAGTTCTCAGAGGCTTCTTTAATTAGATCCATTTACAGGTGCCAACATTTCCACTGGTGCCAGAGCTTTGGGGGAATTGCTTGGTAGCTTCTTCTGTGTCCCTCTACCTTTTTATTCACAACTGTCACTCTGCTAACTCTTCCTACAGTGGTGTGTACACTAACATTCATGATCTCCCAATGCTCACAGAGTCTCTGTTTCAATTCTCCTAACTGAATGGTGACTGACAGTAGAATACTGGAGTGTCAGAAAACTATGTCCATTGCCCATGGTTGGGGATTGGGTCACAAATGGACTCTAGAA